AAAAGCGAATTTTTAACAAATTATTGGAAAATCTTTTATACAGAATCACAAAACGAAGATAAAGATAGCTTACCTCAAATTTCAACAGACCGCTAAAATAATTAAATTTACCTAAATTAACTCATTAAAGTATCAAGCTGAATGACCTTTTACTCAGTTAAAACCACTCTAGGTCACTATAAAGTTCAACGTTTGAAGTGTTATAGTTTATAATAATAGTAAATAATAATAAGTTACCTTGTTATTATTTTATATTTTAAATAGTTTTATCCCGCTGCTATAATTGCATAATTATGAAACACACTAGATACAAACGTCTGGCATTTATTCCGACTATTTAGTTAACCATCAAATAGCCTCCTATAGGAATAAAGATCAATCTAATCTTGATCAATGTCATAGAAAACATCTAGAAGCATCTAGATCAATCTACAATTGTCGTTTTGAACTAATAGCAGTTTTTAGATGCACTTAATCTTATGTCAAGCGGATTAACTCCATTTAGATTTCACAAAAACTCTATACAGTCAGTTATTCTTGCAAGAGGATTTATTTCTTATCATTCTCCGTGAGTCTCAGGTACTTGCAGTTAATTTTAACAAACAATTCTCTAAATTTAACTGACTATAAAATTTTTTTCTTAAAAATTAATTTCCCGTCATAATTACAAGCTATACTTATAAAAAAAAAATAAATACTACAATTTCCTGAAATACCGTTTTGAGAAAACTCTCTTGAAATATTCCAAGAGTAAAATTCCGTGAAAAGGAGTAAAAAGCTCTGTATATTCTTAAAGGCACTAAGTGAGATAGCTTGTAGTCCTTCTACTACTGGTTTCTAGATGGAAAATCATTACTGAGATGCAAATCTCGAGTGAAATAGAAAATAAGAAGAAGGGTAATCGTAGAGGAAAACGAGCCAGGTCAAGTTCCCGTTAGATGCTAATTTGAGAGCACTATCTCTAGATAGAAGAAATTCTCCGTGTATTTTAATTACTTTTCAATATTTATATCTTTAAGAGAGTTCAGTGAATGCATAAAAATATTTACACTCAGAATGATAATCTGTAGTAAGATAGGATTTCCTTCTATCCGTCCAGTTGCAAAATCATTCATATGTAAGGATCGGTTTAATGATATAAGAATATAACCAAAAAAGAGGATTGATTTTTATAACAAGCACAACTGCGTTATCTAAAGGAACTTATGTAAGTATCCTTTGTTATGTCTTATAGATTACGGAATAACAATGAAAAATCAAAATAATTTTTATAACAACACTTTTGAGCTGTATGCTAAAATTTACTGAACTAGGACTAAGTAGAAGGTTCATTATTTTCATTTTTTTCCGGTTCTTAAAAAAGAAAACAATATCATTTAATTACAAGCTCTAAATGAATTGTCAAAGAAATGAGGTTATTTAGTTAATTAGTTATTAAGTCACACGTCACATTATTAACAAAAAAAAAAAAAATATAAATCCTTTATACCTTGAGCGAACAATGCATTTTGTTGTCTTATAAACCAGCCAGCAAGTCAAACTGTCAACGTGAAACAACTCTATTTATTTTCCCCCACTACTATACTCGTTATTGTACTGATATGCTGCTACTTAATGAAAGCTTATTCAGCAAAAGTTGTGAATATACGTTAGACAGCATTGGAATTAAATTATTATTTTTTGTCGTTGAATTTACATTAAAAATTTTAATTTGCACGCTAATAATTTTTTATTTACTTTATTCGACAATAAAATAAAGATTGAGTTGAATAAATTAAGTAGTATGACTATAATGACTTTATTACTGATGAGTTCAATTAACATATCAAACCATAAAGTCAACCCAAATCTTTTTTAACTAAATGCTCCATCAATTTATTATAGCCCAATGATTCTGCGAGGTAAAATAAAAATTTTCATCGACAACCTGGATAAAACTCCATTTGGATTTATATTTATATTTTTCTATAAATAAAAACGGCTCACAAAGCATTTATCGAGTGCAAAAAGGAAAATAGTATTTGTTGAATTGAATACTTGTACTGTGAATTTAAAGGGACGTCGATGACAAACCGTATACAAAACAAATCATGTAGCATTTCCAGTTTTTTTAAAATCAAGCTAATAATATAATGAAAGCTTTTCAGCTGGAACAAATCCATTTGATTAACAATTAAGTCTTTTAAATGCTCGCTACCGATGTTCTGTAAAATACACTTCAGTAAGTATTCTTGTATGACTAAAACAATGTGTCTATTTCACCCTTCCTTTCTTTTTTAAATTGCTAAAAATTCATTTAGATTGTAATATACACTGATAGAGAATTTAGTTCTATTTAATAAGATTTAGTAACAAACCTTTAATTACCAAATATTTAGTAATAGTTACTAAATAATTTATTAAAGCTCATTGCCATCAAATAAATATTTAGTATTAACAAATGATTTATTGCTTCGCAATAAATCGTTTATTGATATTAAAGAAATTAATTTTTTAACTAATTTTACGGTATAACCTAACTTTTTTACTTAAAATAAATCAAAAAAGTTTGGAAAATCCAAATGAGCATGCCTTAAGCGCTCATGTCATACATAAATTATTTAGATCATAACAAAAATTATTCGTTTTTAATTTGAATTTTCCCGCGAGTAGTATAATCCCCTCTGTAGGTCGAACTAAAGAAAAATTTTAACAAATGATAAAACAGTTAGTTATTATACCATCATGTATGTATAGTTTCTGCTTGTTTATAGTTATTTCAATTCTGTTTATGAAAAATAATATATATGGCTGGCGAAATCGCAGAAAAAGTCACCGAACTGACAATCGAAAAATATTAACTGTATCGAAACGGAATTATTTTGACACGCAATTTTCACAAGGGTTTTGATAAACTTCCTCAGGAATAAAACAAAAAAAAAATTAAATCGTGAAAGTGATTTTTGAGAAAGTTGTGATGTTATCAAGCCCATAGCTCCCGTGAATACCACGCTCTTATTCATTTAATTCATCAGAAAAACGAGTTTTTTCTGAGAAATCTTATTTAATCGATAAGAAAATTTTTTTAACGTGTTCTGTAGTTACTATTATTTATTTCAATTTGCACGGAGAGAAAAGAATAGTAATTATTACCATTCTACATGGTAACCAGGCTCATTTTCAGTAAAATGGTAAATGATGCTATGTAGAATAGGATACATTACCATTTTTCTGGTAATGATTACTATGCTACATTGAAACGAGTGAAATGGTAAATATCGCTAGTCTGCACGGGAATCAGAGCTATGTAGACTGATAATGAGTCCCATGCTAGAATAGCTGTCCCTACAGTTTAATAAATATACATGCTATAGTATGCGCGAAAGTTTGCGCAGTAACATACGTGTATGTGTTTATGTATGTGCGAAAGTTGGCGTCATCTCCTTTGTTTATGATTTTATTATTTTGTGTAAAAAATTTATTAAATCTACAAACTAAATTAAGAAATTGATTTTAATAAAAAGTAAATAATGGTTGATCGAAGTGTAAGTATTTGAACATTTAAATAATAATTGGCCAAAATGTAATTCTAATAAATAAATTATTGATTGTTTATTACAAAGCATTTTAATTAATTTAATTATTATTAATTTTCAATCAGGAAATTATATTTCATTATAAGTGCTCATTTAATTATTTCAATGAATTAATTTAATTTATGTATGTGTATTTTAAATAACCTGATTTACGGATTCTATCATAACCTTATTCACTAAATGTTACATAAATAACATAGCAAATATTGCTAGGTAAAATTGTAATTTCGTCCATTTACATAGTCCGCTCGTCAATGTAGAATGGTAATCATTCCTATGCTAGCATAGCCAACGTTACCATTTAGAATGGGGGGGATTACTTTGCCACTTGACTCTCATCGCTAAAAAATCCTCATTTCTATGTAACATAGGAATGATTATCATTCTACATTGGAATCAGATCTATTCTTTTCTCTCCGTGTGCTTTTTATCCATAATTTTTTTCGTTTAAATTATATGAAAAGCACGTTTTAATCGAAATCATGATTTTTAGGCGAGAGTAGAGCATACTTGCGCGCTTCGCGCTAAGGCATGAAATAATTAAAATAAATAATTTTAAGTAAAAATATAAGGTATTATAAAGAAAATAATCTCATTAAATTATAATTTTTTATTTGAGACATTTATAAAATTTAAAATTAAACAACTTTTTAACATATCAATAATAGACTAATTGAACAAATTTAAACTAAACTCCACTGAGAAATTACATATAAGCCATTTGGGACGTATGTGTGTTTTCAAAGGGAAGATAAATCTCCCAAAATCGAGCTCAATAAAATAATCTGAGTCAGTTAATAGGTTATGTATGACATTGGAATTAAAGCATAGCCATCTACCGACAATACTTACCAAACTACTACTAAATATTATTTGGTAGAAACAAATATTTATTTTGATATAATAAGGCTTTGTTTATATTAATGTAATTTATTTAGAATAAAAAAATGATTTATTAAACTGTAACAAATAATATTAATCGGTAAAAAATATTTTTTTCTCCCAAATAAATGACTAAAAATTTTTTACTAAAACATACTCATCTTACAAGATGAATGATTTCGTAGGAAGATATATTGCTTTGCAAATTTAGTTTATAAATAGGAGCACGTATGTATGAAAATGTAATTTTTAAGGGATACATAAAAATGACTGATTTAATATTTCGCTGCTATATATGCAGCTGAGAGAAAGATAAAAATGAAGATAAGCAGATAAAGAATTGAGCTGGATGAGATATTGGGGTTAGAGTTTCGTAACACGTACTTAAACTTCGTAAACTTGTTCTATTCGCTTTGACATGTCAATTAAGAATCCTACGTCAGTGTGAAAACTAATTCCAAGTTTGTGGTTTCTTCGAACAAGGAGCATTGTTTATTCCATGATACTATGATTATGATTATGATTATGGATGTAATAGTTATAATGTTAAGAGAAAATGTTTTTCTCACCTTTCAAGCGTCGACTTTCATAAAACGTGCATCCAGCCACAAACTTTCCACATCTCTTACCATGCCGCATGTAGTTCAAATAAAACGCGTTTTTTTTTTTTTCTTTGAGCAATCCAGTAGTTTCCCTTGAAATAATTGTTAAGCATGTTTTTTGCTTGTGTTCTGCTGCACCAAGCTACATGATACGTTATTATTCTGCTAACATGTTACATGCATTTTTTTTTTTTTTTTTTCGGAAACATTATAGAGACTGTAGAAAAAGTTTTTAATCAGAGTTTTAGAATTCATTGAGGTTACAATTAAAAATTTCAAGTTGGTCGAACATTTTCAAGAATAGACACTGAACTAATTAAATAAAATTTATTTAATTGAAGATTTTATACCTAAAATTATTTATTATATTGAACCCCAATAGTTACTTAAACTATTTTTAGTTAAATATCGGCTGAAAAGTCATCTTGATTAACTTTAACTCAGAAAGCAGAAAAATAATTCGGACAGCCCGGACCGGGAATCGAACCCGGATCTTTTGGTTACGCACCAACGGCTCGGACAGTTAAGCTATCTGAGACATCGTCCGTAACAACCTTTCAGTCTAATAATTTTTTGTTTAACACGATAACAGAAAAATATTTGTTAAAATATAGTCGATGTAACTATTTATCAATATTTACTTAAACTATTGCATAATTCGAGTAACTACAAAAAAATATTTTTATACTTGTGACATTATAATTCTGCTGACTATTTTTCTCTCTGCAATCACGTTGAAGGATAAGTTCAATCTGCTACCAATTTGTATCAACTGACAAGTGTAACGTATCACGAAAATCCAACATTGCATAACTTTACCGAGGAAAATTTTCATAGAAAAGTTATTGCTTCTTGAAATCGAATTTTTCAGCGAAAATTGCGACATGTGTAAGAGCAATTTCCGACAAACGGTTGCAGCGGTTGCTTTGGCATAAAGTGCACTTCATATGAGTACTCGTATGAACTCCCGCGTTCACTGCCGTCTACTAGATATTCATACTCACGCAAACATGTATGTTACCTCTGTAAACTCAAGCTAATTGCCACTCGTTAAAAATTTCTTTTGACGGGTTTCAAGGGTAACATTGTCTAAATAAGTTATTTATTTAAAACATCACTGGGTTTAGAGTCGATATTAAATTTGCTCGGAACTCTCATTTGTTATCGATCACGGCATATTTGTCGAGGTGACTGACAAGGGATGAACCCTCGTATCGTATGGAAGCGAGGATGACAAGCGAATTGTCTGTTAGCAGACAAGAACATGGGTGCAAGTACCAAGTTTCTTGAATTAGAAACAAATTTTGTGATGATGACACATCCCTATTGTCAATTTGTTTTTGTCAATGATTTTTCTTTTTTTGGTATTTTTATATTATATTAACGGAGGAAAGTAAATGTTTGTCTCAATTTTATTAAAGTTTTGAATTGCAAAGCTCCGAAGATCACTTAACTGGTTGAATAAATAAAATAGTATCAACAGAATCAAACCGACGTGAAAGTGCTCAGCTGGTTTGAAAGCAGGTTGGAAGCTTGCCATTACAAATGATACATAACTCGAAGTTTTATGATCTTCGTAATCGATGCGGACTTCGGTCTATTCTCGGCAATCCTCGATGATTGACACTAAAATATTGTGTATGATCATCCAGGATGATTTTACCTGGAACATTCTAGTGATAAGACTCCTTGATTTATTTATGGTCCTTAAAGTATTTTTAGAACATTATATATATATATATACAATCTTGACAGTGTTCTTAGTGAATATTCTGCAGAAGCGAAGACTTCTTAGAAGCCCTCGAGGTGCTACAGTTTCAAAAGATTCAAGATTAATGCTGTGTCCGTTGATTAATTTCAGGACATTAATAACAGGCCGATAATTACCAGAAAAAAACAATTTTTAGAGGATGATGTATTTCTTAGTCTTTTGAAGGGATTAAGATGTTAAAAAGGCCGCTGAAAGGGAAGTCTTTTGCAACTCATCGATTAGATAGAGTTGGAAAGAAATTGAAATTAGCCAAATAGAGCATATTAGAGCTGATGAGTTATAAGGAACTGGTGGAATTGGTTAATGATAACATCAGCAGAATTTCTTTTGATTCCACGATGAAATTTAATATAATTGGCCTAATTATCTATATTGTTAAGAGAATAAGAAAAATTTTGTCTCTAGGATAGTTATATGATAAAATAGGTTTTTTTTAGTGAAATTTTGTGTAATTGCAAAGGTCTTGACTTGAATTTGTGCCTTTTCAAGGTTTCATATTATTCTCACCGATAGTCAATTTATTATAAGTATTTAGGCTGCATTCAAAAATGCTCTATCTCTAGACACATAATTAAGAAATGACCTTGTATTTTGAGAACTATTGACATATTCAAAGATATAAGCTCATCCTGATGTTACGCTCATCGAGACCTTTCATTTGAATACCCACATCAATTTTTCATATATTTATATATATTTACATATTCCACAAATATCATATATATATAAAATATATAAAAAATACCATGTGGGTACTCAAATGAAAGCTTTTGATGAGTGTAACATCGGGATGAGCTTATATCTTTAAAAATGTCAATAATTAAAAAATGACCATGTATCTTGTCAACTATTGACATTTTTAAAGATATAAGCTCATTTTGATGTTACACTCATAGAGACCTTCCATTTGAGTACCCACATAAATTTTTCATATATTTATATATATTATATATGTATATATGAAAAATATATGAAAATGCATGTGAGTACTCAAATGAAAGCTCTTGATAATTGTAACATTAGGATGAGCTTATATCTTCGAAAACGACAATATTTAAGAAAGTAAAGTGCATTATTATCACAAGGATACTTTTTTTTTCACTTTGGAATTTTTTTAAACAAAGAATTGTTTTCATTAATATGATAAGTCAAAACCAGACGAAGTTGTAAAAAGTAAAGGGGTAATGTTACTTAAAGTACGTAGGTACTTTAAAAATAAAAATCTTTAATTTTCGTAGTGGGAAGTTAAAAAAAAACGTAAAAGAGGCATAAAAGAGTACTTAAGTACTTAAAATTAAAGTTGAAGGCCGGAATTTTAAAAGAATTTTTACTTTTATGAATAGAACAATATTTCACAGTGTTAATGAGAAAAATAGTAGTTTTGAATGATGTCCCTTATCATCATCATCATTATAATTATTATTATTATTATACTGATTCAATTTTTTAATATTTTTTGTTACAGTTCTACTTGACGTATCTGAGAATTTTCCAAGAAAATAAGTTCGACTTACAATTTTTTTACAAGTTAGTAATTTTTAAATTTTCTTCCCACTTATTTGTCAATAGTAATTAATTATTTTGTAGTACTATTATATTTAAGCACTACACTCCACCAAATAATTTATCAGCCTGCAGTTCAGTACCCCAGTGATATCTCCCAACCTTCTTTTCTTGTCCTTTCTTTGTGCACGTTCCTCGCATTCAAGAGCATCTGGGAATCAATATTTCCTTTTGACCTTTTTTCTGGTTGTTTATTTTTTCACGAGAATCTAAAGAATATAGGACGAAAAATGTAGATGGAAAAAATAAAACATAAAATAAAATGAAGGTCTCGAAATTTTTAGGAGACAGCTTCACCATGTAATCTACAGGCTCACTGTTATGACGACAATTTATACTGTCGACCATTCGTGGCATAACTGTCATTTTTTTTATTATTTTATTACATTTTCCCTCGTACTCGCTGCGTGGAATCTTGCTACCTTTTAGCGGTCTAGAATAAAGTCTGTTGGCTTTTTTATATCTCGAGCTTATTCATTTGTACGTCCTCGATTCAGCAAGTTAAATAAAATTAAAAATGGTCATTTGTGGCCAGTAATAGTGATGATAAAATTACGGACCGCAGAGCAGCGGTTTTAACAAAATTTTCAATAAAATACGTCGGAAAATTTCCTACAATTGAAGTTATTTTTAGATAATTAGATTTTTAACTTTAGAAATGCTCTTGACGTTTACTGATGGCTTTTAAGTTAATTTTTATTACAGTACAAAGTATTAGGTTACATTAAAAATTTTTTTACTTCAAATTTATAGGAAAAATCATTCAAATATTTAAACAAATATTTATTGTAGTGAAAAAAAAAAAATGATATTGCTATGATAACAATACGCGGTATTTTTATCAAATAATTATCTAATAAAATTTAGTAATAATTACTAAATGATTTAATAACAAACCTTTAATTACCAAATATTTAGTAATAGTCACTAAATAATTTATTAAAAGCCATTGCCACCAAATAAATATTTAGTATTAACAAATGATTTATTGCTTCGCAATAAATCGTTTATTGGTATTGAAGAAATTAATTTTTTAAATAATTTTACCGGTTGCACCACGAAATCTCCCCCGACAAAATACGCTTCAAAATCTCGTTGTGCCCTTTTATCATGATTTTTTGTGTATATTTACACGAAAAATACCATCACAACTGTCAGGAATAATAATATTATTATTTAAAATTAGATTTTATCGGGGAGATTTTGTCGTGTCACCATTTTACCGTATAACCTAACTTTTTTACTCAAAATAAATCAAAATAATTAAAATAAATAATTTTAAGTAAAAATATCAGGTATTATAAAGAAAATAATCTCCCCGAGAAAAAATATTTATAAATAATTATATATATTTATATATAAATTGGCTATATATAATTATATATAACAATGTTTAATTATATATTTATCACATCTAATTAATTATTGGGTTAATTTTATGGATAGAGTATTTAATATGGTCCTACGCAATTCTCTAAAAATAATTAAAATGCAAAAAAAAATGTCAGTATATAATTTTACTGCTATAACACCAGCGGTCACCCATCCAACTACTAACCCTACTCAATGCGGCTCAACTTTGGTGATCTCCGTGCGTCTTGAAGTTTCTGTCTGCTGTGCTGCTGTCTTAGACAATAATGATTCTATGATCTACTTAATGCATCATAAGAGTTTATGTTAAATATAATATAAAAATTGATTTTATAATATATTTGGATAGTCATAATTCATAATTTATTTATCTTACCGAATTTCATTATAATATAACACTTATTTAAATAATAAAATAAATAATGATTTTACTATTACGTAGTAGCAGAGCAGACAAAACATCTCATAGAAAATGTGACAAATTTTGTATTTCAGAATTATGTAAACGTAATTATAAACATCATTTTACACTTTTCGTAATTACCAAAAAAAAATTTTTTTTCAAAGAAAAAATTTTTATATATGTTAATCATATATAAGCATATATAATTATATATGAGACTATGTACAATCTTGCATAGCTGTATATTGCTCCATATATAGTAATATATAATTATATATGATTATATATAATCTCATACACAATTCCATATATAATCATATATGATTATATACAATTATATATGATTATATAGAAAAATTTTTTCTCGGGAGGTTGTACTGTATCTCACGAACGAATTGACCAATTTTGATGAGATTTGCGGCGTCCGACGCAGTTTCATAAAAACAAAAGAATTATTTATTGCTCGCTGAATGATCCAAGAAGAAATTTTGAAGTTACATCGGGAAAACACTTTTTTTTTCAATTTTTCGGAAACGATTTTTTTTTTGAACGAATGACCCGATTTTGATGCATTTTGCGGCAATCAATGTTGTTTTTTTGAGGTTATAAGCTGACGAGTTTTTGAATTCGATTGATAAACTAGTTTAAAAGTTACTGCCAAAAAAATTTATAAGATTTCTCAAAATCTACCAAACATAATTATTTGGTTCCATGATTTTTGATCCCCCGACAAAATGTCCCCGACAAAATATCCCCAAGACAAAAAATCCCCGACAATTAATCCTAAATAGCCGGAATCTACACTAATAAATGGAGAGCCGGTTTTTTGTCCAGTTATACTGCAAAAACTACTGAACCGGAGGCCCGGGGAAATTCCCGCAATTAGTTTAGGGCCCAGATACATTAAAGTCATAAGAATCCAAATAGATAGAAAAAAATGGTAGTTTTGTTATATGTTAACAAACTCACTGATACTTTAAATAAGAAATACCTAAGTATAATGACAAAGAACATTGTCGAAAAGATTAACCCCAAACAGAAAGATTTTAGAGTAACAATATTCAGATAAATTTTTAACAATACTCACTTAGAAAATCAAAGTTTACGTGTATTTTAAATAAGAAATCTTCTCACGCAATCTTCGAATTTTAAGATGTATAATCAGATTTATCTTGAAAACAATCAACTCTACGGGTATAACTGATCTAACTTGATTTGTAGAAAAATGAATTTCTTATTGAAAAGTATTTGTACAATTTCGTCGTAAAACCAGTGTTTTACGAGAAAAATTGAAAAAAAAACTGATAAATTTGAGCAAAAATTGACTCAAGAATTTTTTAGCAGTAAGACGGTTTAGAGAACATAAATTAGCCGTAGACATTTTCAAAGATTTGTCTACTATTTAACGTAAGGCCGATAAAGTAACATTGAAGTATTTGAGAATTGAGTATTCAATACTTTTAAATTCCACTTTGGAATTGTAAGATACTGAAATAATGAAAGATTAAATCATTTTCAATACTTTTTAATTCCATGATCAGAATAAGAAAGTATTCAAATGATCGAAGTTTCAATTCCATTTAATATTTTTCAAAATCTCCGTATGGATTGAAAAAATTTTTAATAATTTTCAGTACTTTTCAATGAGTATTTTTAATCAGGGATAATTAATCAATAAATAATAAAAAATTAGCAAAGCATCATTTTTTCTTGACCAACATGTTTCAGATCACACTTATTCTCTTCGCCATCATCATCGGTACCAACGGCAAAACCTATAATTGGAAGGACTGCGATGAAACCAGCGAAATCCCATTCAAATTCGAGGTCCAATTCTCCATAAAAACCCCCTCAAAAACAGTGAAAGAAATTGAAACCGTGAACCGGACTGTAAAGTTCACAATTGAAGTTACCAAGAAAATAGTATACAGTAAACTTTTGATTACAACCACAAACAACGGCGTCGTAACCTTGGATCGCACTTTGGCAAAATTAAATATTTCGAACAAGGAATTCATCAGCGATCACTTCTTCAATAGTTCTGAGCACGGTATAGTGAGTTCCGTCAATAAAATAAGAATTAACTCCAAAGAAGGTCGTCGATACATTGATTATTCAACGAACAGTTCCGATCCAAGTTGGGATAAAATTGTCGAGAGAAGATACGATAATTATGATAACACAGAGCACACTGTTTTGAACTTTAAACCCAATGGTACAGAAATTCATCGAACAATAGAGACTGGGAACAGTGACGGAAGTATAACCGTTCAACATTCAAAGGAGACTAAGGAAGGCGAGACTTTTGTAACTTTTGAGCACTGTGTTGCGGAAATCAACAGGAACAACTGGACTTCTTTCGACCAATCAGTATCAACTATCTGCGGCGGAGAAACTAAAGCAGTTGTTAGAACGATTGCAGTTTCCAATTCTCAAAATAATTCTATGGCTATTGATCACTTTGTTCAGGAAAAGGATGTTAATGGTGGTCAAATTAATGAGCGGATCAGCGGGATTGTTGCTGATAATGGCACTGTGCTCAGCTCGGAATCATTGGAATCAAAAACAAACGTAAAAAGAGATTTTGCTGCTTCAAAAGGGATAAAGAATCTCGCAAGAGTTCATCTCAAGTTTATTACGCTGCAAAATATTAAAAAAGAGCTGTCGAATATCGTTCAGAAGCTTCGGAAGGGTTGGAGTATTTTTAGTGACCTGTAAAGTTTTTGTACATTTAATAAAAAATAGTTTTTAAATTAATAACTACTTTTGTTTGTTGATTTTTAGGTAGATTTCATAGAAATCGACCTTTTGCATTGGTCCTCATATCGGAATTTTTGAATATATATATATAATTAATTAAATCAAACGGCAATTATTAATTATTATTATTATTAATACTAACAGAAATATGTGATGAATTGATGATAAATGATTCCAGCCTGAGCTGTTTCGTTTAACCAAAGACTAGCGATAGATCCTTTTATATTATATATATATATATATAAGTCCTGCGGTGGAATTCTCGTTAATTAACCAACATTTCCAAAAAAACCAATTGTTCCTAATTAAATGAGATAATTGTGGAAGTAAATACCAAACCTCTTTGAGTAAATTATTACAAAATTATAAACAATTAACCTTTAAGTGGCCGGTTATTGCACAATAGCTATTAGCTTCCAATAAATTTCTTGTAAAATTACAATAGAAATTTCCCGTACAAAAAAAATTTTGGTTCCGGATGAATTTCTGGATGAACTTCAGATTGTGAAACAAATATGAATTTCATAATGAATTTCATCTGGAATTTCAGATGAATTTCATGATGAATTTGAATCACTTTGTATATGAATTTAAACTTAATTTTTTTAATTTGTGAAATAATATTTGGAGACAGTTATATTGGAATTTTTAGCTTTATTTACACTGGTTCAACATTTGCAATTCTATAACGTCTTTTCGGATAAATTTTTTGGAGTAGAAGAACACAAAATTCAGAATAATATCACGAAATTCATCATGAAAGAATTATTATTTTACATTTTGTTTTTCTACTCCAAAAAATTTATCCGAATAGACGTTATAGAATTGCAAATGTTGAACCAGTGTAAATAAAGCTAAAAATTCCAATATAACTGTCTCCAAATATTATTTCACAAATTAAAAAAATTAAGTTTCATATACAAAGTGATTCAAATTCATCATGGAATTCATCTGGAATTCCAGCTGACTTTCATGATGAATTTCGAATTATTGTTCTGAATATTGTGTTCTTTTACTCAAAAAAATTTATCCAGATAGAAGTTTAAGAATCGTAAATAATGAGTCAGCGTAAGTTACACTAAAATTTCCAATATAACTTTCTCCAAATATTTTTTTACAAATTAAAAAAATTAAGTTTCATATACTATTTGTTTCAAATTCATCATGAAATTCATCTGGAATTCCAGATGAAATTCATTATGAAATTCATATTTGTTTCACAATCTGAAGTTCATCCGGAAATTCATCCGGAACCAAAATTTTTTTTGTACGGGTAGGAACCATTTCCATAATTTTTGGAAAGGTTCCTATAAATTTCTCTCCGTATAATAGCTGCCGAAAAGTTTTCTCACGGATATAAAATAATATTAATAAGCTGAAGATATCTTCAAGATTGTAAAAAAATGTCACAAGATTGTTAATATAAAAATGATGGACAATTACATTTTAGATGCCTTGAAGGGATACATTGAAAATGTTGGCATAATATTATGAAAATCTTTGTGCTATAATGACGTGGAACAGTTAGGAACAGTTATAATGTTTAGAGACTCGCTTTTGTAGTAAGATAGGATTTCCTTCTATCCGTCCTGTTGCAAAATCATTCATATGTAAGGATCGGTTTAATGATATAAGAATATAACCAAAAACAAGGCTTTGTTTTTATAACAAGCACAACTGCGTTATCTAAAGGAATTTATGTAAGTATCCTTTGTTATGTCTTATAGATTACGGAATAACAATGAAAAATCAAATTTGAATTTTTTCATAGCTCAGAAGAAGCTATATATAAATCAGAAAATTTTTCACGGGAGAATTCTTAGAGATTTTTCATTGAGAAAAAGAACTAAGGTACCGGTGGGTAATAAGGCCTAGCTAAGGGAGATTTTGAAAAAAATCCAAAATATTGCATTTAATTATCGAAATGTATCATTAATCTTTATTTCAATACATTAGCCATTAAATATAATGGAGTAATGGTAATTTTCAGCATAAACAAACACAAAATTGAACTTTTTGAAAAACCTTACGAATAGGCGTTATTTTACATAGGTGGGGTAATAAGACCCAAGGGTTAAACATACTGGAAATAGTTATACTGTACTTAATAAAATTGGTATTAGAGATCAATCATCACTTAAACTTAGCAACAATACTTTTTAAGATGTTGATAAAAATTAGACCAATGATTTTAAATAATTAAATATAAAATTATAAACAAATGCTTACCATTTACTCAAACCATTTTTTAGGAATTGTTCTTTGCTACTTTAGCATATGACGGATGATGAAATATAGAAGACAGGGAACGTGGTATCGGGAATCGATAAACTTGTCGCGACATTTCTATGCTAGATGCTTCTACTAGAGAGTGGCCTTTAGCGAAGTAGTCAAATTTTTAAAACTTCCTAAAAATTTATAAATTTAATCTACGTAGCCTATTAATTAATAAAAAAATTATAATAGTAGGTTTTCGGGATTTAATCAAATAATTAGGTTTGAAAATTGTAATTTTTACATTTAAAATGGAGATTCCACCAGCCGTGCATTTGGTTAAGAATTTAATGCAATTAACGATATTTTTTATTAGTCAATTAAATGTTAATAATTATTTAATGAGTAAATTTATCGGAAATTTCCTCAACAAATGTTATTAATTTTTAAAAATTAATTTTAAGATTAAAGTATTTCTACGTATTATTTTTTTATAGACATTCTTTACACTAGAACGTTACTTGGATCTTCTTAAATATCATTTCTATCACTATAGGGCCTTATTACCCCCAGGTACCTTAACTTTGAAAATCTAGTTGTCTTAACATGACTGACAGGTCTAATTATAAATTATAAATCACTCTACACACCCTCGCTTTGGAAAACATGACCCCAGTTTGCGTTACTACAATTTCACCCCTCGGACAATTAACAATTAGGGTTCACAAATTACACCCTTGTGTTACGCTGTCATCAATGTCCTAAGCTCCTCAATTTCAATAGAAACCCTTGAACTGACAAGAAATGAATCACTAATTACAAACAACAATAAATAAAATTTAGTAAACGTAAAAAAAAACACCAGTGACATCAATTTAAAAATCAATAAGCGGATATACATTTAACCCTCTTTACACACAACGATCGGGCTGATAATATCCTGCGTCGGACAAGTGCTGATGGTTTACCGCTTACAATATCTCGACTAAAAAACACCCCAACTCACAGTGTCAACACGCCCGTTTATCGCCTGATAAAAATTATGATATGTTAACAGCTTCGGCCGAATATAAAGAGAGTAATAAAAAAATATACAAAGAAAAAAAGCCAAAAAAATATTTTCTCAGCTGAAGTAGGTGGCGCTGCTTCCCTAAAGTATCTAAAAATCTTGATCAAATATTAAAATTTATTGTATCAAGTATTTATGATAGAATTAAGAAAAAATGACTCACCAAGAATAGAATTTAAAGAAAAATTTTAACTTCGGCCAACGCAACTTCGGTCTTCCTTCAGGCACCCGACAAATTTTCTTGAGCCAAGAATTTTGTTCTCCAGTCAAGAAATTTTTTTTTCTGTTATATTAACAGCTTTGGTTAAAGTTTCGGCCGCTTTTCGATATAAAAAGAGCAATAAAAAAATATAAAATTATCCGCACTATCTCTAGGAGATTTCTTCTATATGATACACGCACGAATTATTTATTTATTTATATTTCATCGGATTTATTTTTTCCTTTTTGGAAATAGATTCCCTTAAATCAATATAAAGCTGATCAAATCCCAGGGGGATATCTCCGAAGACCAATTGAATGGTGTGTGGAGAAGACTAAAGCGGCTATAAAGGACGACGAAAAAAAAAAAGCGCTTTGATACCTTAAAAGTGTAACTATTAATCTTTTTATCTGTCTGGTAACACTTGGTAGGTTTATTGAATTTATATTTGCTGACAAGATTAAATAGTTTTTGTCTGGCGCCCAAAGTGCCGATGAATAGAATTAATAGGAACTATTTTTCTTAAACTTCTAGTCTTTTAGATAGAAGGACATGACTTTCCAATTCGGTGATAAAATTGTGGTATATTTCTGAGGGAAAAGTGAATTATAACGTCGTAAGTATAAAAATGTTTCTAAACTTTTTTTTGTAGTTACTCGAACTATGCATTAGTTTAAGTAACTATTGATCAATAGTTACATCGACTATATTTTAATAAATATTTTTCTATCGTGTTAAACAAAAAATTAGCTGACTGAAAGGTTGTTATGGACGATGTCTCAGGTAGCTTAACTGTCCGAGCCGTTGGTGCGTAACCAAAAGATCCGGGTTCGATTCCCGGTCCGGGCTGTCCGAATTATTTTTCTGCTTTCTGAGTTAAAGTTAATCAAGATGACTTTTCAGCCGATATTTAACTAAAAATAGTTTAAGTAACTATTGGGGTTCAATATAATAAATAATTTTAGGTATAAAAACCTCAATTAAATAGCAGTGACGCATTAAATTTTTCTCTTGGTGTCAAAGATCTGTTGAACTTTCTTCTAGTGATATACTGCTATTACTACTCACTTATTGGCCGTTTGAAAAAAATCCCATCAATTTTCCGAAAAATTCAATGAAATTATTTTTAGAGAAATTTGTATGCCACCCTCACTGAGAAACTTTCCAAGCAATCCATTCTCACCAAGTTTCTCTAACGATTTGATCCCAAGTTATACTATTTTTCTTCCACACACTTCTAACTGTTCTAAAAAACTTTCATTGTCGCTTAAAAAAAAAAATTATTTTTTATAGAGTTGTAGAACAAATTTATAGAAATTATTCTGTTGAAAAAAAAAATATTCGTAATTAATTTTGAAAAATCTTCAATATAAAATTTTTAACTTTCATTCTTGCTTGGTAACTTTTGAAATAAACTACTTTAAAAGCTTTCTTGCCAATTAAAAGAATTCTTTGGTGACACTGTCTAAAAGT